GGCCAATAATCAACGAGATACAGCCATTCAAACTCCCCAACGTGTCTATAAACGAATTTTCACGCTTTTGAGTGGCTGTAACGTCTTTAACATTTTTATCGATTAACACCAAAATTTGGGATTCTGTAAAGATTTGTGTGCTTTTTCTGGCTGTTACGAAACTAATCCTCATTGGTTTGAAAACAGGCAAATAACTCTTATAGCCTATAACGAAACGTCGTTATAGCGAATAAATTTTGTCAATCCCTTGGCTCTTCGTTAAATCGAGGTTCCACTGTAACTATATTATTTCCTTGATTCTCATTAGACGTAGAAAAAAGTTGTGACTTTTGGGTCTGGATGAAATCCTATGTGCGATAATTAAAATGTAACCTCTTCATTAGTATTTTCACAAGGCATAGCACCATTTCTTAGCTCAAAGTTAAAGTTCATTTCGCTTAGTTCTAACTTCTGAGTCTGTGGATGACATCCTAAAGTTTGACCATTCAAATGAAAACCGTTGAGTAGTACATGCGCTTTCCTGTAGTGCTGTTTATTATGCTGTTCAAGGTGGTTCTAACTTTTGACTCTGTGGATAAAATCCTGGTGTGTGACCATTCAAATGAAAGCTACTGAGCAGTACCTTCCTGTGGCACTGTTTAATATGTTGTACATGATGTTTCTAACTTTTGTCTATGTGGATGAAATCCTGGGGTGTGACCATTCAAACACAACCTCCACTCCACTCTTGACAGTACTAGGGAAATATTATTTTTCTCGATGTTTGCTACTGAGCAGTACTTTCCTGTGGTAATGTTTAATATGCTGCACAATGAAGTTCTAACTTTTGAGTCTGTGAATGAAATCCTATGGTGTAACCATTCAAATGAAAGCTATTGAGCAGTACTTTCCTGTGGTACTGTTTATTATGATGTACAAGGTGGTTTTAATTTTTGAGCTTGTGGATGAAACCCTGTGGTGTGACCATTCAAACACAACCTCCACTCCACTCTTGAGCAGTACTAGGGAAATATAACTTTTCTCGATGTTTGTATGACCACTTAACTAATGACGTTATCATCTTTTTAAAACTTACGTCGAACAGTGACGTACGCTGAAGATTTCACTTCTCCTGCGTCGTTCGATGCTATGCAAGTATAGTTTCCAGATGTCCTGACTTTTGGAACAAACAACGTCTCACCGTAGCTATTGCGTACTTCCACGATGAATTTGCCATCGCGTCGCCAACTGATGTCCGGTTTTGGATAGCCTTTTGCCGTGCAGTATAAAGAAAGGTCTGTGTCGGGATTGATTGTGATTGGTCGAGGATGATTGGTAATAACTGGCGGCACATTTTTGACTAAAGGGAAAGCAACATCATTACTTATAGTCACAAAATAAACGCAATAAATCAAGTTACTTGAGTAATAATAATTATTTTTCAACAGGAATACGGAGAAATTGTACAAATCTTAACATGGACGTGTAATTTACTGACAAACTGTAGAATGTCTTACTTTTGATTTAACTGTTACAATCCTGAAGTAAATCCTTCTAACGAGTTATGGAACAGCAACGCTTTATTCTATACGTGAATGGGGTCGTGGGTCTACCATCAGTATACGGCGTTTGGTAATGATCACGTGATGCACGATCACGTGGTCGATAAGCTGTTGCGTCCTTTGCAAAATGACGTTCAATTTAACCCTTTAAACCCTAAGATCAAAATTTGAATTCTCATTTGTTGACCCTATTTATTTCCTATAGAAGTAGTGGGGAGAAGTTGATAAAACATGAAGTAAATTCATCTTGTGTGATCATGTCCGTAATTCTCATGACCACTCTGTTTGACAAAACATTGATATTAGCAGGAGAAATTTGATGCTGATCACTTTTAGCACTTAAAGGGTTAAGAAAAGCATGAACGCTACTTTTGATAGCGACCTTTATTATGTCCGACGGCAATGGTGGCAAAAAAAAGTAATAATAAAAATAATATTTAATAATATTTATTGCTCATAGCGCGCAAATTAACATTCGAATATGATCAAATGCACAGTGTATAAAAAGAACGTCAGGGTTAAAAATGAAGTCGCATTTTTTTCAGACAATTTTCGCTTTTGTTTCATCTCACTTAATATGTTAAATGTAGGTGAATTTTCGCGGAGTTGATTATCGGGGACCCTATTCCAGTTCAGAAAAAGAAAGAAAAATTCTTCGTCGTGTGTTTACGTCCTCCATAAAACGCCACACAAGGACGTGGTCGTGCAGTGACGACAAAGAAATGCATCGAAAAGTGCGCTGAACGTGCAAAGTTGTTGCTTTGCTTATCTGAGGCCCAGTCCACACAAATCCGGATATTTTTATTACTTTTTTTTTACACGAAACGGCCTTCCATCTACACGAAACTAGTGAATCCGGACGCCGAAATCGCATTGTTTTGAAACCGCTCTCCAGAGCGGTTTAAGGCACCGCTCACATGAATGCGGATAAAAAATATGCGGTTTCCAAATTGTCCGAATTCCTGTGGGCATAGCCTAAACCTATTGCTTTTCTGTCGTTCTCTTTTTTTCCCTCGTCATCGTTGCTAAACCACCCTAATGAATCGACACAAACCTTCGACAACTAGATCGGTCTTCCGAGAGTAGTACCATCCTAGTCTGTTTGTAGCTATACACTGGATTTTCCCCGTGTCCTCCAACTTAAGATCACTTATCTCCAGTACTCCATTACTTGGTGATGTGTATCTAGGATCTGAGGAATTCAGAGGGACATATCCCCGTAACCATGTAATAGCAGGTTCAGGATCACCTTCCGCAGTACAATTGAACACCGCCGTCCCTCCAATATATTTTACTTGACGAGATGGATGTCGTTTTACTTTTGGAAATCCTTCCGGCACATTTGAGGACGCTGCAAAAAAAAGGTCAAAATGTTAACCTTGGACGAATTCTGAACGGTAATAGATTCACAACCAAAAATCGTGAAAAATGTATCTTATGCTCGGCCGTCCCGTGCGCGGCTAACCTTTTCCGCTACCCCCAAAGGGTACGCAGTACTATTTACGAGGTAAAGTATAGTGTAGCTGTTAATTTTCATATGATGTTGTAATGTTAGCTTCACATCGTAGGTAGAAACCTCCACAAAGAAAACACGAGCGCGCGGTATATTGCCCACCTCCCCCTTCCCCGAGGCGTCCCCTCACGAAAGATGATTCCGGCGCGCGACTCGCGCGTTCCAATCGCTCTCCTATCTATAGACTGCGAGCAGTCTCTTCTTTTTCTATGTGAAGTTACTGCTCGCGAAACCCAAGCCCGCTTTTCCAGATTGCGCGCGTCCTATTTTCTCTTGCTTGTAAGGCGTAGAATTTTATTGCTTTTAATATTCTTTCATTATCAAAACATAAAGTTAAGGGGGCACTTCATCGACAACTTTTAGATATTCTATTGTTTGAGGATGGTTATGTTGACACGCTTACTATTACCGCTAGATTTAAACAGCTTTGAACTCTGCGTTATATCTATTTCGTTTCTCATAAAATCATATTTTTTTCTTAGTTTTTTTTCGTTTTCAACCCTCTGTTAACTTTAGTATATATTTATGTAAATAATATAAATTTTCTATCTGTGCTACTTTACGGGTCAGCACATTGGTCAGCACTATCTTACAAATATGTATGTGAGGTTGTTGTTGTATCTTAGAGCCTGGCACAAGCTACATTTCTTTTACATCACGGCACGTGCAGCAGGTGCATCAATCGATGCCACAGCACGTTTATTACAAGCTGAAGCAACGCCTGATGCAAAGCATGTGCTGCCTGGTGGATAGCAGGTGAAGCATGTGCTGATAGCACGTGAAGCACGTGTTATGCGCGCATATCTGTGAACAAACGCACCAGGGTGCTAACGGAATGAGATAATAATGAGAACAAGGCTTTTTGGATTCTTTATAATTACAAATTGAACTGCGTTTAATCAAATGCAGCAGCTTTCAAGCTCTCTAGGGCGCTATGGCACTCCCCATTTTTCGCCCCACCGCCAGAGTACCCCGGAGAGCGTTAGAGTGTTTTGGGTGTATTCATTTACAGCACTGATTGTCGCATTTATCCGCTGGAATTTTTTTATCGTTTTTTTGCTCAAAGACAGCAAAAAACGAGGCAAACGAATCCAATATTTGATATCAAAACATTCCATAAAAAGTGCTTTTTGTTATACATGTATCCCAGCTGGCAGGGGCACCCAACGTCAATTTTCGGAAAATATCTGTTCGGAAGACGATTTGAGATCTAGAATTTTCGGAACATTTGTTGTAAAATTTCTTGCTTGCAATTTGCTTGCCTCTCCTAGGATTTTCGAACATCTAAATCCTGGTATAACTGCCCTTTTTAATGGATTTTTACCCTGAAAAGGTCACCTAGAATTTTCGATAGCCTTTTTTCTGGGTGAAAATTTCGAAAAGGTAAGTTTTGATCCCTATGATTTTCGGATCACAAGCCTTTCAGCTAGGAAATCCAAACAGATGAAACATTTTTAGGGGATAAAAATATGCCTATATCTATCGTTTAAGTACTAAAATACGTTTAACAATCCTATGTTTAAGTTGTTTTGAACCTTATTCTCGTTGGGTGCCCCTGAGCTGGAAATAGATAGCCGCAAGTTCTGCCGGAAGAAGTTTCACGAGAGAAGCTATTGCAATTAATCCACAGACTCGAAAATTCTAATGACAGATTTTCTTATAGTAAGTTTTTAATGTGGATGTGTCATGCCAGAAGGGGTAAAACAAATCACAGAGCAGAATTTGTAAGAGTTTCACAATACAGTGAAGCTTATCTCTTGGGAGGTGGACTTTCTGCAAACAATATTTGTCTGAAATGAGGCTCAAAAGATTAAGAGAAAAGTGTGGTCCATGGTGGCTAAGAAACAAAATAAATACTGGATGAAAAGAAATTTAGCAATAACGCACTCAGAAAATGTCATAAAGAACACTTCCACTGAAGTTTACCCGAGACGGGAACGCAAGTAAGACAACGGATACGCGAATGTCAGCAACGCGAACGACTTCACTTTAAAAACTACGTCTGGAAAAAAACACCTCCTCTAAGCTGTGTAACTAAATTTCAGCGTGGAGGGAAAAATTATTTTTGCAAGTTTTGATTCTGTGGATGAAGTCCTATGGTGCTACCATTCAAACAAAACCCCTCGAGCAGTACGTTTGCACTTTGCTGTTCGTTTTTATAACAGGAAATTGAAGACGTCTTTCTCTAATTTTCATATTAGCGTAAAGGGTTAAATAAAGGGGTGAACTTATGCCTCCTAAGCTGGTCTTGCACTTACGAAGGTGCGTGCATTTCTGTTGATTTTACTATGCCCACCACTCATTAAAAATCACATCTCTCTTACTATGACAAACAATTAATGAAATGCAAAGTCTAAGAACTGTCTTCTTTGCTTACTTTGCAGTATCGCTAAAATAACCTTTAATCTTTAGGGGTCGAAAACACTCCACAGCAGAAACAATGGAACAATCGGTGCAGTCTTCACAAATATTTGTACTAAAACCAAACAAACTTTAAACAAGACTGCACTTATCAGTTTCCTGTTAGGCACACGGTGAATTGTGTTTGAGGAAATTGATCCTGTATTTAATGTAACTTTCTTCGCTCTGATAACAAGCAACACCTCACGCATCGAAACGAGCAGCAAGCCGCATGTAGAATTGTATAATTTCTTTTTATTGGTTAGTTCGTTCGTTTCTCTTTCTCGTTTTTTTAGTATTATTATTTTGAACTCTGGATGTGTACTTAAATTGATACCAACTTGGTAGGCTGGAAAAGCAAACAGCTAAAACAAAACTGTTTGTTTTTGAAAAAATAGGAGAAAGCAGGCTTCAGATAGCATCATTTAATCGGGCGCTCATCTTATCTTAAAATGGACTAAAACGTGTGATGGTTTTAACAAAAACCTGGCGTTTTTTTCCCATCATTCGACACGTAAGGAGGCAACATGCAACAGGTAAAACACTTACTCCCTAGAATGGTCGAGAAAAAGTTTTTCTGTATCATATATCATCAAATAAAAATCCGCTTATAACGTAAACTTAAGCAGATAGAAAAAAACATTAAGAAAATCCAAAAGTCTGAGAAATGCAAGCAAGGAAAGAAAAAATCAAGTTGAGGCAGTTTTAAGACCACTATAGCTACAATGAACCTGCAGAAAGCAACTTACATACCGTCTGTGGAAAAGTGACGAAACAGAGAATGGAGATATAAACGACAAACAATGCGAAAAAATAATGTCTGTAAAAGAAGTGAATTCTTTGGTTGCTATTGGATTAGATTAAAAAGGTAACTGTTACAGATTAGAAATAAACAAGTAGTATCTACAGTTTATTTGTCGGAACCGACCAAAAGTTAAAATTCTTCGCAGTGGCTTGTAAATCGGCAATTGCTCTTTATTTTTAATACGTGGTCTCCTAAATTGCTTGTGTGTGCTCAGCGCACGAACGCCACAAGAAAACGATCAGCGGTATTTCAAGAAACTGCCATTTTCATAGAACAACGAAAACGAACTCTTGGCCAAGGAAGTTTTCAGGCCACATTTGCTTGATCTTTCTTGAAGACTAGGCAATTTTAAAATAACAGGTAAGTGCTCACAGTACAAAAACATTTTTTACACTTGCATGAAAATGCCTAAAATCCAGTGGGATTTTTTTCCAGTGGAATACAGAACATTTAGCGTCGATTCTTTTTTATGTCTCTCTCTTCGCAAACGCCTGATCACAGGTCAACAAAACATTGACACCAGTCCATGGACCAGTCAACTGTTTTTGACGAACTGTTTAACTTAAAAACAAAAAAAATTCTGAACTTGAAGGAATAGGCTCGGCATACTTTTCTTTGAGGGATGTACAGCACAAAACGAACTTCGCGTGAACGTAACTAATAAACAACTATTTTCCATAGTTACTTTTATAATTATTTGAATTAAAATCCACTTCCACTTGACTTACCTCCTCTTCTTCTATAAACTTGTAAAAAAGCTTGTTTTGAAGTCGAAGAGCCTATCGCATTTGTGGCCCTGCAGGAGTAATTTCCTTGATGCCTTGAAGACCGGAGAGTTAGAAAACGCAATAGTTCACCCTTCCCATTCGAGATTGGATACTTGACATAAAAATAGTGTCTTCTGTCGCCAAGACGCTTGCTATCCTTGTACCATGTAATGTTAGGTGTGGGTGTTCCAGTAACTTTACATACGAACTGTGCGGTGTTTCTCTCAACACCGGCATTTGTCGCCGATGTAAGAGTGGCTGTTGGAGCTGTGGAGACAAAGAATCAATAAAAAAATCGTTGGCATTTTCATCAGCAGGATGTAGGAGGGCTATTTCAGGGGTATCCAATGATGGTTTCGTACAACCAATTTTAGGCTATCCAAAGTAATTTTAGATTTCTAAAAATGCCTTCTAAGCCACACTATAAGTATCTGTTTGGTGATCCTACGGCAACTTGAGCCTTTTCAAAATTACAAGGGCTTCAGGAACATTTTCTTGAAATTTTAAGAAGGATGTACAATCTAAAGCTTTATGACGGTGAGAATTTTTCTGATTACTCTCCCCATCACATTATCGAAATCCGAAAATTTTAGTTTCCTTTTTCTACAAATTATAGCTCCATGGGAAGGGAAACGTGAAGTTCAAAAAATGGTAGGAAATTTATAAGATCAGCTTCAAAAATCGTTCATGAACGGAATGGTCATCTAGATATTTTAAGCTACCTGCTAGCTATAGAAATCTCTAGGCAATATTTGCTCCTGTGAACAGATATGTTGCACAACACAGTCGGTTGGTGCTCTGTGCTAGTGACATTCAAATCTTTGTATAATTTGTTTTGATCTCTACAATCTGCAAACTACATACAACTCAGTTGAACTGAAAACCTATGAAATATAATGAGTAATTTGTACTGCAGCTGTAACCAACTATTGCTTATTTACCCAACAGATCTATTCACGAGTGTTATAGAGCTGACTATAATTCAGCATTTCCATGTGACAATACAGGATTGTTAGGAGATCAGACCTCTTACAGGATAAATTTAATAACATGCCCGAAATACATGTATGTATACTGAGTTGTGCCGCCAAAAAACTCAAGTACTTGAGTAAATAACAATAAGTACATGTATTTCAGTAACAGTCAGGGACACCCATTGTCAATTTTCGGAAAATATCTGTTCGGATGACGATTTGAAATCTACAATTTTCGGAACATTTGTTGTAAAATTTCTTGCTTGCCTGCCTCCCCTAGGATTTTCGAACATCTAAATAATGGTATAATTGCCCATGTTTAATGGATTATTACCCTAAAAAGGTCACCTAGAATTATCGGGAGCCTTTTTTCTGGTTGAAATTTTCGAAAAGTAAGTTTTGATCCCTATAATTTTCGGATCACTAGACTTTCAGCTAGGAAATCCGAACAGATGAAAAAAATATGTTTAACAATGCTATGTTTAAGAGGTTTTGAAATATATTCTTGTTGGGTGCCCTTAAACACTATTAAAGGAGTAAAAGTGAGATTTGTATAAAATAAGATTGGAAAGTAAAACCTTCTGAACTCTTAGCAAATGTAGCAGAGAAATACAAGCAACAAAGAAATCCCAGGAACAATCTACAGAGTGTTGTACCCAAGCTCACATCCATGACATTTGATGTTAAAATGTGTACAGTATGCCGTGTAGTTTAGTAGTTAGCTGTGTGTCACAACAAGCTAGCTTAGGTTACCTCATATGATGGACATATGATAATAATCATTATTTTCACATTAATATGTAAACACAAACAAATCCTGTGATTTTCAGAATGGAGTGTTTTGGATTATGTTAAAATAGTGAATAGTGGAGCAAGCATAAGTGTGTGTGAAAATTGCCACCTAGGGTGATGTACTCAGCGTGAAAAGAAAGACTCAGCGTGAAAAGAAAGTCATGTCCTATAGCCCAGGGCTAATGGATTTTGGTTTCGGGCTAGTGAATTCTGTTCTTAACTTGCCCGACAGGCAAGTGAATTTTTTGGGGAAATTGAAATTACAGAAGGATTGTAATCAATATATTCTGCTAATCAAAAAAGGTTTTTGTGGCTAGTTGAAATGACTCGTGGGCTAGTACATGCTAGCTACAGCTTGACAAAATGGCAGGCTGTAAAACTGACTTTCTTTGCACCCTGTGTACTGTATTTCTACAAGTTCATGTGAAAGTGTAAAAGGTGCTTGTAATATTTGAGTCTGAGGATGAAATCCTGAAGCGTGACCATTTGCATGAAATCTATATTAAGCGGCACCTTTGTGGTGCTCACCTTACTTTGTTGTTCAACATAATTGAAGGCACATGTCCTAAATTCTAACATCCTTTCTCCTTCTATGTGTTCTTATTGTTTTGTTTTTTTTTTTTGGCATTTTTGGTATTTATAAATTTAAGGTATATGAAGTGTGTAACCATTATGCACTTTGGATAGGACATGAACTCACAGTCTAGAAGTGATTAATACAATGTATGTAATCAGCTTGTCTAATATTATTTTAAGATTGTGCATCAAAATCACCAGCTGTGAGGAAGTTAACGTTCCATGTGAGCTGGGATTTTCACATGCATTGGCATATTCTGCTTGCTTGACTATTTGGCGGGAATAAAGGATATGTAGTCTAGAATTGTGATTACATAATCAGTGTGTCCTCTATAAGAAACTAGTACATCTAAGCACAAATAGCAACATTCAGAAACAGAATATTATTAAAGTCAAAACATAGGTAAGTGACATACAGTGAAACAGTGGTCAATTACCGATGGTGTTGTAATATGGTATTGGAAAGGGTTTTTTTAATATTTGTGTGGAAAGTTCACATGCATGCCAAAAAGTCAATGAACCATTGCTGCTTATGTTATTGCTGCATCAGTACACCTATTACCCTTAATTATGATAACAACAAAAATGCTTTTATTCAGTTTATGTGTTGACTGAGTGGTCAATTATGGGAATTTAAAAAACAAAGGCATACAGTTGTAAGACCCGTCAGGTATTTATCGTAAAATTGGTCACTTACGAGAGCTTTCTTCTTTCAGACCATAAGTCAGTTCAAATTGGATTTTCACAGATTAAGTGGTTATATCTATAATTGTAAGCTGGTTGAGAGAATTTTCATTCTCTCCTAAACATAAACCTTATCTCTGCTTAAATCATTCATGAGACTTTTTGGTGACATCATGCTTCTGCAAGCATAAACTGTGAAAGCATGGTCAATGTGCTCTGTGTCATACAATGTAAGTTATTAGGTTCAATTACTCTGGTCCCCCACACCCTATGAATTCCACATTGTTAATCAGTATAAAAATAATGACGATGTAAAATTTTACAAAAATATAATTTTGTGAAAGAGTTAAGTTAGTCTAGTTTAGAGGCCATGCTCTCTGAGAATTTTCTTTAATAATGTTAGCTTAGAATGGGCTGTCAGTTAGTTGAGACATGCAAAAAGAAATTCTCCTCATGCTTGCTTTTCTTTCCCCATGTCTTGACTTACTGTGAGCCCCTGTGTCCCTTGACAGGTGTGGCCTAGAAGACACCAGGGAATACTGTTGGGCGGCACTAATCCAGGGTGGTGTCTCCTAATTAGCTCTGCCTTCTACAGTGTATACATGACTTAATTTACCTTACATGATCATGTCCGGACTGTACTACACTTATTGATCAGTGTACAGAAAATGAGAGATATATCAAAATTAATATTCACTAACAAGCCATATGTATAATATTATTTAAAAAGACCCCTGCTAATGTTCTCAGCTTCATGCAAACATTTTGTGTTATTTGTACTGTGTGATAATCTCTTCCATCCCAAACTATCTTTAATCCTTGAGTAAACAAACTCAAACTATAATCCCAAATTCAAGTAATGCATTGACAGAGCATGCAATGTAATTGCCACAACAAAAAAATAGATCTGACATATTTTTTTCAGTTGTTCTGATGAATGTTGGATTTCACCCTGTGCAAATATTATGCAAATGAGAAAAAATAGTCTCATGTTCTTGCTTATTTGCATTAGATTTGGCACATGTGAAATCCAATTTTTGAACCACGCCTTGTGTCATTAAGTCAACATGCATTAATTAATAATCAATATTATTAATTAATGAAAGTATTAAGTTGTATGCAATCAGATATGTGCAGCTACAGTACAGAGCCAGTCTGGCGGACTACATATTTTAATTAAGACCTGGTTTTAGAGAGATAATGCAAGTTTTGTAGAAAATCTGATAGATGTAGAGAATTTATGTTATTTTAAGAGTTTTTAGGAATAGAATCATCCAAAAAATTTAGCTCTTAATGAATGTGTTAGCATTCTTTTGTTGATTCTGACTTAGCTCACAGCCATTGTATGAGTTTTGGGGAAAATATTCTCACCCCATTTTTCTCCTCTGCAAGTACAAGTGCTGGTGGCTCTCACCAAAATTTTCCTCAAACTTACACAAGTGAGTCTGCCTGCACTCTAATTTTCACTCAGCTCTTTCTACAGCAAAAGCAGGCCGACAGGCATCTCACCTAATTTTTACATCCTTATGCTAAAATTAGATGATGACTGAAATTAATGATGAAAAAAACAAAATCAATTCGTTAATCTTTAGAGAGCAGTTGTTTTGCTTTGCTGATAAAACAAACCTATCACAAGTTATCTGTAAGTTTGACCTTTAGAAAAATGTAATTTGCAGTTGATTTTTAGCTTTGGACAAGTGTAAGCAGGATGGTAGGACAAAGGTACACGTACCATAGCAAAGACACAATTTACTAATATATCACATGCAGAACCAAATCAATGACTATTTGACAAAGATGTTGTTGAAAGGTTTTGGAGAATAATATGGACAGTAGGACGCCGACGTAACTTAACACCAGGTTAGATCATATTCACACCCAGAAAATAACTTCATGTCACGGTTTTGACCAGTCTAGTTTATGTTAACCCAGTTGAATAATGCATCCTAGGGTATTGTGCTAAAACTTGATAGAAAGGAGGTCTTATACACTGGTACTAGACGTTAGATCTCTATTTGTAATGATAAATGCTGTTGATAGATCTATGGATAAGATGACCATAAAAGGGTCCCTTAATTACAGAGAGGGGGTAAAGGTTCTTAAAGAGATTAGTTCGAGTTTAAATTTAATAGTGTTTATAAGTTGCTTTAAAAATGGAAAATCTTACTGTATTCTTTATGAAAAGGTAGAAGAATAGAAAATCATAACTGTAGAAGCATCTGATAGCCATATGGAGATTATTGAAAGTAAAAAAGTGAAATGGCGGCGAAGAGGTGTAAATGTACATTGTACATGAAATGTTATACTGAAAAATATCAAATGGCCACAAAGATGAAATAGAATATCTCCCTGTTCCATAAATAGTTCAAGCTCTGCCTCCTCAGGAAGTTTTTATAAAACAATCTCTTTGTGATCGGAAATTCTCAAGAGATGACTTTTCCACCCACTACCAGCACCTTAGCTAACAAGCCTAACATGTACTTGTGCCACGCCAACACCAGTCCGGGGGGGGGGGGAGGGTACGCCCTAAAATGGTCTTATATATGGGCAGGAGCTCTTGATATGGGGAGACTCCATCCAAAAGGCGTACCTTTTTAAGGTTTCAGGTTTATTAAAGGGTGGCAAAATCTGTAATTTCGGTTTGTAGCTAACACGTGCATTTCAATGCTGTGAAAAAGTTGAGAAAAATTTCTGGTTTCAGAAGGTATGCCGCGAAATGAGTCAGGGGGTAGGACCTCGGGGTGGGGCCTCCCCACTTAACACTTTGTTGAGAAACCCCCCGGGCCACTAGTCCACTAACTTTTAACCACAATTCCATTGGTGGTAAAATTTGATCGTTCTAGAAAACAAAAGAAGTTTTCTCAGACGTGATGAATTTTGAGCTTTTTAAAATAATTATACAGAGATGTTGACCTTAATTTATATTCGTACTTTATTAACCCAAATAACTGAATATTCTAGCGGTGGCTTTGTGTCTTAACCGCAGCGAGAGGCAGACCGGAAAAAATGGAATATTCTTTCACATACCCATTGTTTCTCAAAAAACGTGGAATGAGTAAAATAATACGTAAAAGAAGTATACCTAATATTTTCGCGGAGAGGGAACGTTTCCGAAACGCATTCCTCTATATGATCACAGTCAAGATTGAAAAACTATACAGCTAGAACTTGTCGCAAACATTCATGCTTTGTTATCTCCAGGTTAAAAAAATATCGAAAGCCGAAATCTTATCAACTTAAGCATAAATCTGATGTGTGCCTTAATGATGATCTTAAAAGCATTTGAATATTTTTTAACAAAATACTCGGCACTCAGTGCTCTAAATAGCGTTGCAAATGCATAACTTTACCCTTAGTATTGAAGCTTCGGCATTCTAGCGATAAAACGTGTATTACCAAGTTTTTGCTCAACGCTCGATATCTTGTGCTCTTTACCTCGAGTCTAAATATTTTTATTCGAAGCAATAATAAAGTGGGATTGTTGATGAAAAAACGTGATACAAAAAATTTCCATCACCCTAGATTTATGATCCCTAAGCCTGAGGCTAAACAGATCTAAACACCAACTCAGCACAGCGGAGGTGTAAAATCTCAGTCATGACTAAAATTATCGTTATTTTTTTGGAACTCTTTTAAAAAAAATTCAATTACCAGGTGACTTTTAAATTGACCTACTAAAAAAGTACTTTTCGAACTTATTTTCCCGGTGTACTATGCTAAACGAACAAGTCTGTTGATGTTTACGTCGAAATAATAAAAAAAGGAGGAATATGCAATCACATGCTGGGCCATTGTTGTCAACGAGGATATCATTTTTCGAGCGAGCTGAAGTCTTGAAATCCTGATTTACTTCGAGGTACAATATCCAAGACTAATATAACCGAGTCCCCGACGAACGAACTGCTAAATTTGTCCGGTATTGGACTTACGGTTTGTCAATTACGGGCTTCAAAAGATGGATATTAAAGCGAGATCTTTGTAATCACGCAAACTAGCGAGTTCACGTACTCGAACGTCAACGTGCGACCTTTCAGCATGAAAATCATGTGTTTTATCTGTTAAGAATGAGAACAACCCTTGCCTCTTCGATGTGTCGCAATTCGTGATTCCACTGTAAACCAGTGAAAATAATGCCCGGAAGATAATTTTTTTTCATCGGCTTTTCGCGTAGGTTATTCCGCAAATGCGGTGTCCATTTCTAAGCTATTCAACAAACATCACTCCCGCTTAAGCGTAGAGACCAGGTCTGGGTCATCATTAAGGCCACACAAGCGTGTATGATAAGAAATAACGAAGATAGCAATGATAATTAGGTTAATTCAGATTTGCTTCGAGAAAGCATTCATTTATTAAATCGAACGATTAGTTTCGAGCGCGTAGCAACACGTTTGTACAAAGAAAGTTCATTTATACGCACTCGTTTGTGAAAAGTAAGCTAAGACGACTGCGATGAAAGGCAATGATGATTACATTCGTCAAATATCATTTATCAAAGAAGCAAATGGCCCTAAAAATCATATAGCCGCGTATGGGCACACTGTTTGCGTTCGAAGTAGTCAAGTATTGTTTACAAAATTATCAAATTCACGAAGGCCTTGATTTGCGAAATCGCCTCAAATAATTTGTTGAAGTGCCTTCAGAATTAACAGAGCTTCTATCTGCGTAGATTTTAGACAAGATAATTGGTAGCATCTTGGCGAATATCGCACTCAAAGCTTTGCGTTTTCATTCATCTCGAGTCAGCTAAAAGCCATTTAAGTAAAGTAAACCTCTATATGGGGAGCTAAAGTGAGAAAGAACGGAAGTCATTCTAGAAAGATATATCTTCTTTAAATAAACAATTTCTAACTCATTGCTTACCTTCGCTTTGGCCATAAACCACACAGAAAAAAATCCACATCCCGAGAAGCAAAGTTTTGTTTCTTTGACTCGATAATGCCATTTTGATTACTGTCTTGGTATCAACTTGTAGCTTTCACCCTGCCGCCGCTTGTCGATTTCACAGCTTGTTGATTTCAAGGCCCATGCAAAGCGTCCACTAAGTTCTTTGAAAGAAAAGCCAAAATATCTACAGTTGGTTTTTCAAATTCATAGCCGTAGTGATAGCGAAACATACGTGAATGAACGATCTAAACTTTTTGTGCAAACAGCTTGCTATAATGCTACACAATCGCTCGTTTAGCTACGGCGTTGTCTGAAGTTTTCTTGACAGATGAGAGTTGACATGACTGAATTGAAGCTACCCCACGTGACAAGCGCTAGAGCGTGACTTACTTTTGAAAACCCGTCTTCGAAATGCTACAAAGACCAACATACCACAAACGTCTACGGATTAAAGCGAGTATTGTATTTGATTATCCAATATACACAATCATAAATCCCAAGTGACTTTCTGGCATAGATTGATGCTGACTGTTTGTTGAGGCTGAAAGAAGCCAGTATTTTGGACTGTGGAATCTTGGAGGGGGTCTTCTCCTTGTGAATTTCGAGTGACCTGTTGTGTACAACCTGTGTACTCTGGCTTAGCCAGAGGAGTTTTTTATTTTACCCCTTTTAACAAAGCCAAGGAATATAATAACAGCCCAATGTTCCAAGAGAGCAAGAGACAAAAAACTCCTCGCGCCCAAAAACTTTGAATGTATTCTATTTTTGACAGAGTTTTGACTCGACGGCACTCCCTAGACCCAGGCTCCCTCTCGGTTGTTTACCTAACTTTTGGTATTTGGAAAGGGTGGAATACAGTGCAATATTAGTATACTCGAGGCCGGTCTGCGGTTTTTTCGCCTTTTTTCAAGGGTGTAAACATAAATTGTAAAAGTACGGAAATCCGTTTTCAAATAATTCCGTGAATTTTAATTTCAAAAATATTTACGTCTCAGTCACAGATATTGGATTAAGGATATTCTGGCAGCAATATAATTATGAAAAGTCCTTCGGTCATGTGCTTATTTTACATATTCTTAGTTTTAACATTTTATTTCAAGTTAAGATGTGTAAAATTCTTCACATGCAATGTTGACCAACATTCAGAACAGAAAGAGTTTGTTTGTTTTTTTGACGAGCCATTTCAACACTTAGGAGTCTTAGGAAGGAAATGAAGTCTTGTTGAATTGAAAGATAACTGAAAATTGTTTTCCCTCCCGAACGAGTAAGAATAAGTCTCCACCGGAGTATCAATAAAAAACTTTAAAAAAAAACTGAAGAACAGCCAGACTTGGTAACACTTCTGGAAACAAAAAACGAAAATGTTTTGAGTTATTAAACCAAATAGACCCGTTGAAGTTGTTGAAGATTGAAACAATGGAATGGTACAGTACAAATACCGGCATATCTTTGATGGCTGCAAGTAAGAACTTCTGAAACTACGGAATTCAACCCATCATCTTGGTTCCTTAACAGATCTAAAAAAAATAGTTTCTCCAACTCTATATTTTTACAATCCTGTTCTTTTCGATTTATTCAGAGTTATACGCCATGTTCTTTTTAATTACGAATGCCATAGTTTCGTTTTTTTGTTTCCAGGACGTTCCAGGAGTGTATCGTCTAGATCTTACCCAGTCCCGGACTGTTCTTCGGTTGTTAAACGTTTCTATTTTTTGCCCTGAGCGTTCAAATCCTTCGTCAACCTCAAGAAACTATTTCAGAATGTTGGTGTTGGTCGAAGGGTAGGATCAGTCTTTGGCCGGCCGTGGACCGGCCTGGATGCGCCCGCAGACCCCTACGGCTAGAGACTGACTGGGTAACTATGGCTCTAGTCTGAGCTGAAATGATGGGAAAATGGCGCGTTTTGCCTTTTGCGCGGCTTCATCCTTGATTTTGGGGGGGCTGGGGCTTTGCTGTTCCAGTTTATTCTGTCCAAGATCTTGGACAAAATAAGTGGTAAATTTAGAAACATTCCTCCCCCCCACCCCCAAAAAAAACCTTCAAAGAAAAGAAAATGCCACGTTTTGCCTTTTACGCGCCTTCATCCTCGATTTGGGTTAGGGGAGGATTGGGGTTCGTTGTCCCATTTTATTTTGATTTTTGGGGTCTGACTTTATGAGCCTAAGCGTATGCGCTGTCTTTATTGACATTCACTCTCATCTTAATCACTTTTCTGAATCTATAGAATTTTTACTTTGACCTCTTCTTTGAATCGAGACCAAAAAAAGTGGGTGCCCCAGACTGCAGGAAACAAAATTCCTTGGCCTTTGCCATCATGTTTGTTGAAAATTACAAACTTTACAATTTTTTTTCGGAGGAGTGGCTTTCCACGAACATCTATCCAGTGATACATGTAACCACTTTTCAATCTGAAAGCTCTCCGGAGTGGAATCTGATTTTTGAAAACGCCGTTTTTTCGTTTTTCTCGTGTAGACGGATGTAAACCAATATTTCGACAATCGATGACATAACAACGGAATGTTTCACTGCGCGCCACCTTGCCTTTCTTTACCACTGATAGTATATCTCAATACACTTTTTTTTTCTTTGGAGTAAAATGTGAATCATGCTATTATACAATACAAGCGCTTCTTTTACCGACAATTGATAAAACGCCTCATTCATCAGATGACTGTTCACAAGGGAGACCTCGGACGGTCTGATAAAGTAAGGATAACTAACGTTTTAAATAAGGAATACAGCTTCCTACTTATTTCCAACTTACCTTATCTTTTTTTGATTCCAAAAGGGAGTTACTTAGTCGTCAACGGTGTACCTGTAATAACAATAAAATAAGATTGGTTAAAGACTAACATTGCTTCAAAAAGTTGTGTTGGTTATTCGTGGTAGTGAAAGTATAAAAACTTTTCAATCGACAGATAAACGCACCGCGTTGCTGTGAATAACCTGGATCATTAAATTAGCAAGCAATCATCGGAGGCAGGCCGAAAATTAAACGCGAGGCACTTGTGGATGTTGTCTTTACGTAACGTCTTTCTAAATGTCTGAAGTACAATATTGCTTCGACAAAAGAGCTCACATCAAAATTATTTTATTCCGCCTAGAGGATTGAATTTCAGGCGGGGCCCAAAAACTTTGAGAGGCAGGTGTCACTTTCCCCTGCAGGCAGAGGCCCTGCAGGCAGAGGCGTCAATTTTCGGAAAATATCTGTTCGGAAGAGGATTTGAGATGTACAATTTTCGGAACATTTGTTGTAAAATTTCTTGCTTGCTTACCTCTCCTAGGATTTTCGAACACCTAAAAAATGGTATAATTGTCCATTTTTAACGGATTTTTACCCTTAAAAGGTCACCTAGAATTTTCGGGAGCCTTTTTTCTGGCTGAAATTTTCGAAAAGGTAAGTTTTGATCCCTATAATTTTCGGATTACTAGACTTTCAGCTAGGAAATCCGCACAGATAAAAAATGTTTAGGGGATAAAAATATGCCTACATCTACCGTTTAAATACTAAAATACGTTTAACAATGCTATGTTTAGGTGGTTTTGAACTATATTCTCGTTGGGTGCTCCTGTTTCGTTATTCATTATGATTTCTCGGATTTTTGTCTGGGTTCCTTAAATGCGAAAGCAATCAAACTCAAACTATCTGTATCATGGAGGCGAAGCTTAAAATGCACATTCTTCAAACATGAAATACTAAGCAGTTTAGGTCAATCTCTGATGCATACAGCTATTTCGAGGAAGGTTGTGGGAAAACGTACACGCAGCAATCCCGTAAGGTATTGTGGGCGGTTTTAAGTTCGCTGTTTTTCAAAGGAATTTGAAAGAATGGCAGGAGAGGCCACGGACATATGTTTACAAGTGCTAAAAGAAAACAACAAAAGTAGGTTCGACAGCTACAAAGCCAGGGACAGTGTATTGATCATATCCCATATTACCTTTCGGGATTGTCGCGTGCACATATTTTCCGACAACCTTTCTCAAAATAGCTGTATACAAAGCAGACCACTCAGGACCACTCTCCAAAACATCTATGATTACGCGGTCGTAAACCACTCTTTCCCACTGTTTCCCATGTAAAAAGACTATGATGCGAGACTATACTGGTTTGTGTTGCAAACGAAGTCGTCACTACTTATTTACAAACAATTAACTAGAATAATATTTGAAATGATACTGATGTTAACTAGTCATTTTTTTCAAATTCCATATACTGAAAACAGAGTAACAAATAAATGCGCACCTTGAAAACTAAACGCCTTGCTACACCATGGTTGCCCAAAAGATTATAAGCCGGTGAGAAAAACTATGAGAATAAATTGGTATTTAATTGGCACTAATAAATTGTACTGAAAAAAGAATGCAAATGCTTAATATTGGAATTAAAAAAACTATACGCCAAACGTACACACGATCAAATAAAAAACTAACACGAATTTGCAAAGTCAGCGGAAATTGGAATCAAATTGGAAACTGATTGCAACTTACGGGAACTATAATTGCTTGTGATGTCCCTTAGGCTAAGAATTCATTCTCTGATCAATTTACTTAACCTGCCGCTGCTAAATGGCACTTTTTGTTTTGATCCAATTAACCCAAATGACATCTCTTTCCAGTTTAATTACTGACTAGCTGAGTCAAAAGGGTGGAATACAGTGCAGTATTAGTATACTCGAGGCCGGTCAGAGTTTGTATTTTTTTTGACGATCAATTTGAACACTTAGGAAGGAAATGAAGTCTTGTTGAATTGAAACACTGAATTGAAAATTGTTTTCCCTCCCGAACGAGTAAGAATAAGTCTCCACCGGAGTATCAATAAAAAATACTTTAAAAAAAAACTGAACAAGAGCCACACTTGGTAACACTTCCGGAAACAGAAAACGAAATTGTTTTGAGTTATTAAACCAAATGGACCAGTTGAAGTTGTTGAAGATTAAAACAATGGAATGGTACAGTACAAATACCGGTATATCTTGAATGGCTGCAAGTAAGAACTTCTGAACCCATCATCTTGGTTCCATAAGAGATCATAAAAAACAGTTTCTCCAGCTCTATATT